TTATGAAAGAATAATAAGAATATAAAATGATATAAAGGACGACGTTAATTATAAATGAAAAAAGAAATAATAAAATAGTAATAGTGATATATTCATTCTTAAAATAATAAATAAAGAAATATATATTATTTAGAATTCAAATAACAACCAAAGAAGAAATCAAAAAGAAGAAATAAACAGAAAGAAGAGTGAGAAGATAAGAATAGAAATAAAATATAATGATTTATTCACAAACAAGAAGAAAATCTAAATAATAAATAAAATAAAAATTAGATAATTAAATGTTAATAGAACTTTCATCTATTCTTCTTTCTTAAGAGAAAATTAATACATTTATTGACATCTTTGTAAACAGTATTTTCAATGTTTAATATATTCTCTAGGTTTGTCTAGGAGTATGAGAAATGCACTTCTTCACTTGTTTTCTTCTTATTAAAGTCAAAGTTCTTAGCTTATTCATTAGTTTTAAGCTTTTGTTTCATCATTATTTGGTTTGTTCTTGTTTTCATTATTTTCCTTGATTTTATTATTGACAGTGCATTTCATTACCACTATATTATTATATTTACTTCATTTTAGTCTTCATTCACAATTTATCAATTCATTTTCATTGGTTATTATATTTTTCTTATTTTCTTTATTAATAAATATCATAATATTCCCTGTAATAAATTCATACACTCTTTGAAACATTACATAATACATTTCTTATTTAAAGTTTATAACAAAATAATAACTGGTAGAGTAGAAGCTTGAATTTTATTAGTTTTTATGTAGTGTTTCAGAAGTACTATCTTCGTTCCAAAAAAAAGAATGGAAGAAGAAAATATAGAAATAAGATATATTAAAATATAATGTAATTTTAATTCATGTGATATTCATGTTCAAACATAAATAAATAACAAATAAAATTAACATTGAAAAATAATACAAATGAATGAAGTAATACAAAAAAGAATGAATAAAGAAAAAATAGAATGCAGAAAATAGAGAAAATAAAAGATGCTAAAATAAAATCAATAGTAAAATCAATAAACAATTTAATAAATACATCAAGTATTAAATAAAGAATTAAAAATTGAAATTGATGGTGTTAAAGAAGTTAAAAACATTTTAATAAAAAAGTGATTGATGTCATGGAATATTGCTTTTACCATACACAAACATACTCTGTAGAGCTACTAGAAGAAGAATCAGTGATATGATTAGTCTTTCTTGATCAATTAACAACAGAAACTGGTTTATTCACAATTAGTTTGTTGATTTTTATTATAAAAATAGTTTGTATACTTTTCACTTTGTGTAATTGAAAAAAAGACATAACGCAATATCAAAATAAGCAATAAAGTTTTTGAAATTATTTATTAGAAAGTTACAAAAGTATTAAATTTTGTTATAAAAACAACTTAACGAATAGAATTGAAGAAGCAATTTTTTATAAATAATTCAAAAAGACGTATTTCAAAACCTTAATATAAAAAGACATAACAAAAATATTTAATTCTAGGACAAGACTTGAACCATTATATATCTTCTGTAATTTTCTTTGTAAAAGAAATGAAACCATTCAGAAAATCAAGAGAGGTAACAAAAAAAACACAGTCATGGCATTTGAAATACTTCATGTTAATCCTAAAAATATATATAGTGGAATTAATTGGATGTTCAAAATATTTCCAAATTTTAATACACTCCAATACCCCTGTGATTGCATTCCACAAGAAATAAAAAAATGAATACTTATACAAGATTTCATAGATAAACTCTTCATTCAATATAATACATGCTAATGAAATAAAATCTGAAATAGAAACAAAAATTCGTAAAATAAGAATATATGAATTTAATATTGATACTGATGTTGTATTGAATTGTTTTAGTGTAGAAACAATAATATTAAAAAATGTTAATAACTTGTATAACATTCAAAAATTAGTTAATTTGAGGTATTCAAGAAGAATTGTCATTTATCTAGATAATAGTCCATCACATTGAATAAAATTAAAATGATTTGTCAGTATTTGGCCATGTACCAATTAAGGGTATGTATTGTGAAGAAAGTTCAGAAGTAAATATTCTTTTTGAATAACCTGGACTAATGACTATTGGAATCAAACAATGTGTTAAAGAATGAGAATTTAAAAAGAAGAAAATATAATTAAAGAACATGAATTTTCTCTTATCTACCAAAATTAAATAAATAAACTCATTAAATGTTATTATGAAAATTTTCCACAAAGAAGATAATTAAAATCAACGAGGAAATGGAGTGATTAATCTTAAGGAATTAAAAGCTATGAGTTTAAGAATAGAATTAGAAAAGTGAAACATTCAAATCCACTTCTTAACAATACTCAAAGCTATTGAATTATATGGTGGAAAAGGAATAATTAATGTAGATCTAAAAAAAATTCTATCATTTCAAATATTAAGGTTATTGTCAATGTTAAAAATAATGGAGCATATATATACAATAAATGTTATATACATAAATTTGATATTGAAAATGATAATATGATACAAGTGTTTTGTAAGAACCTTTCTATTATTAATGAAGTGAGAATAAATACTGACTTTGACAAAATTATTTTTGAGAAATGGTAGAATAATGGAATGATATATGTGTCAAACAAAAATAAAAAACGGAAAAGTTATATTAAGAAACATTATTTACCCATTACGTCATACCATGACAATAGAAGAGAATGTAAATGGAATATGTGTTAGTGTTAATGCACCTATTAATAATTTAACTATTAAAGTAAGAATACCAAATATTGAAATTAAATTAATAATTGTATGTCCTATGGGAATTTAACAATAGACACTGATAATAATATTCAAAGTATGGTCAAACCCATTAACTATTATTCAAATTTTAATTATTTAGGAAAATCTTTATTAATTAGTAATTTTAATATTCCTTCATTTGAATTTTACAATAGTGTTTACTGTGATAGTATTCTAGTGAGCTATGACTATAAGACTAGACAGCTACATTATTTTAATTAAAATGAATTTATAATATATAAAGAGAGTGTGTTTCAAAGAACATGAATTTTATGAAATGGTGAGAAAATATATTGAAAAAATTTAATTAAAATCAGGTGTATTTTTAGAAAAAGTAAATTATTTAGAAAATATTGACATTCGTTTGATTGTTAACAAACAAGAAATTTCTTTGAAAAGTTTATCAACTCAGCAGCAGTATTTCAGAAGGAAAAAAAACGAATAAATTTAGAAAATTTTTTATGAGAAATGTTGATGTTTGACGATAAGAATGAATATTATGAAAAAGACTTCAATGATGAAAACTATCAATGAAAAAAGGTAATTTTTGAATTAAAAAGAAATTATTTTCGTTTCAAATAATTTTAAATAATAAAAAAGATGTTTTTAAAACCACTTCAAATCCAATGTCTAACTTTAAATAAACAAAAAAGTAATTAATTTCCGTATAACTTTTCGAATGGGGATGGGTTTGGAATTAATGTTTCTAAAAATAATGTCATTCTATCAATAGCACTGCCCATATTAGTTTCATCTTTCTCATCCAAACCATCATTTAAACAAATACATTGTGGTTTCTTTTTCTTAATTCCATTAATAATTTTGAGGTTGTTTGTTCTATTATTATCAACAAGACCATAATAGTACCACTTCTCTCTTACATAAACACCTTTGTTACTTTCAACTGAGTATGCCCCATGTAAAAATGGAATTGCTAAGTCATTTCCAAGTCTAAATTTGTGAGTTCGTGTTTGTTTATACTGATTTTGCCACTTCTCTTCCATTTCTTTTAATGTATCAGTTTTGAAGAAATAACAATGATGACTAACATATGGATGTTTAACAACTTCTCCATTGTGAAATTTATCATTGACCAATTGATTTGATGTTCCAACACTTTTATGCCATAAATTTTGTTTCATTTTTTCTTCTTCTGGAGCATTCCATCCATTATGATAAATATTAATTTTTCCATCTTTTCTGCAGAAATGTTCTGGTTTTAGTTTTTTACCTAATAACATATCATCATTTAAATAAAGAAAACATGATGATAAGTTTTTGATATTGTGAATTGATACTTCTAGTGCATTTGAGTTAAATACTGGCAAATCTTTATTATTAGGGAATATTTCTTTATGATCAACTATTCGTAATTTGTAGTCTCTAAAAGTAAGTGATGAAGTATTTAAGAAATCAGGAATTTGTCCCATTGTAACAATATAATAATTCTTAATATATGGTGCAAAATTATATACAGAACGTATAGAGTATTGTAATGTATTGTAATCTCGATACCTTCCTGCACCTCCTTTTCTTCCATTTTCTTCAAGAGCCTTACGGAAAACAGGATCACTTCCATTAACCCATAACCAAACAGCATCAATACCATTAGGACATGCCTTATTTTTAATCGCCGGAACATCAAAATACTTGACGCTAGCTTTAACTCTTCTATCAATGATACTAAACTTGTTTGTTCCTTGCATCATTATTCCAAAATTAGCTACTACTAATACAACTACAAAGCAAATAGAAATACATGAAGTACAACACAGTGGATTTATCTCCATCTTATTTGTTTTAAGTTCTTTTCTTTTTCAGAATAAAAAAAATTAATAAAAACAAGACATAAAACATGCATAAATACATCTTAACTTAAATCAAATGCATTCTTTTCGAATGGAGAAGGATCCGAATAATATTGATTTAAAAATTCATTCAATTTTTCAGTCTCTGACTTAAAAATATTATCATTTCCAGAAAACCCATCATTTAAACAAATACATTGAGGATGGCTCTTTTGAATATCTTTATACACTTTCAAGTTATTTATTCGATCTGATGTGAATGAACCATAGTAATAATTTCTTTCTGGTATATATATTCCTTTTCCAGTTTCTGCAGTAAACGCTCCATGTAAAAATGGAATTGCTAAGTCATTGGCTTCTCTAAATTTGTGAGTTCGTGTTTTGGCAAATTGATAAGGCCAAACAGACTCCATTTCTTTTAATGTATCAGTTTTGAAGAAATAACAATGATGACTAACATATGGATGTTTAACAACTTCTCCATTGTGAAATTTATCATTGACCAATTTGTTAGAAAATGAAACACTTCTATGCCAACTATTCTTTTTTGCTTGTTCTTCTTCTGGAGCACTCCATCCATTATAATAGATATTTAATAATCCATAATCATTAAAGAAATGTCTTATATCTAATTTTTTACCTAATAACATATCATCATTTAAATAAAGAAAACATGATGATAAGTTTTTGATATTGTGAATTGATACTTCTAGTGCATTTGAGTTAAATACTGGCAAATCTTTATTATTAGGGAATATTTCTTTATGATCAACTATTCGTAATTTGTAGTCTCTAAAAGTAAGTGATGAAGTATTTAAGAAATCAGGAATTTGTCCCATTGTAACAATATAATAATTCTTAATATATGGTGCAAAATTATATACAGAACGTATAGAGTATTGTAATGTATTGTAATCTCTGTATCTCCCATCTCCACCCCTTTTACCATTTTCTTCAAGAGCCTTATAGAAAATAGGATCACTTCCATTAACCCATAACCAAACAGCATCAATACCATTAGGACAAAATTCATTTGTAATAATGTCAACTTTTTTATATTTAACATTTCCAAATACTTCAAAACCATTTTTTTTATAAACCTCAGCGTTCTTCTTTCTTTCTTCCTCAAATTTATTTTTTAATTCTTCTTCGAGTTTAAGAGTATTATCTTTAATATTCTTTTCACGAGAAAGGATTGGACTCATGTTTAATTTGATTTGAAAACTTCCTTTTGTTGGTACTAAAGTCAGATGAATAAGGAATATTCCTATGAAAAAAAATAATGAAAAGCTAGCAATAATTAATGGAGTTTTTTCATTTTCCATTAAGACTTATTCTAATATTATTTTTGAGTTTTTAAATACGAGATAAAAAAATGATTATTCGTTTTATAAAACAAAAATCATCAAAAATTAATAAAAATAGAGTTGTTCAAAAAGTGAATAAAATAAAATTCATTTTATGCACCTTTTATAAAATAATTGGAAAAATCTTGAAGGGTTTTTAATGAAAAAATTTTAAGTTCAATATAGAATAAAATGGCTGCTGCTAAGATTGCTGAAGCTGCTAAATTCAACTATCCTGATATTACTCTTAATTCTCATGATATGGGAGATTTTGAACAAATGATGGTTAATGGATATGCACCAGTTAATACATATATGTCTTTAAAAGATGTTCAACAAGTAATAAGTACAGGACATATGTCTAATAGTACTATATTTCCTAAACCAGTTGTTTTAACTTTAACCAAACAAGAAATAAAAAAAATTGAAAAAGCTAAAAAACTTGCTTTGAGAGGACCAGAAGGTACTTTACTTGGTTTATTAACACCAAGTGAAGTTTTTGAATTACCACAAGGAATTTCTAATAAAAGAAGAAATGCCACTATGGGAATTACTGGTAAATTAGAATTTGTTGAACCACCACCTCATTATGATTATACTGAATTAAGAAAAATTAATAAACCAACAAACCCATCTATTTTCCATGGTATCGCTTCTCCTTTACTTAAACCATCTATTGACCAATTAAAGTCATTAGAAAAAGATGGCGTTAAACCACATATTGATATTAATGTTCTCAATATTCCAGCACCTCATCCATTAGTTAAAACTACTCAAAAATATTTCAAAGACATTACCGTTACTTCTCACCCACATGACTCTATTAGTTCAGAAGATGTTATTTTAAGAGGAATTATTGCTAAAAATAGAGGATTTAGTCATTATCTTGTTCCACAATGTTCTCCAAAAGAGGTTTCGACTTCTTTGAAAACAATTGGTATTAAACCAGTTGTTTCAGCTACTCCATCTTATTTTGATAAGATGTCATCATCTCAATTAATTAATTCTATTCGTGATGGAACTGCTCCAAATGAATTATTATCTAAAGAAGATTTAGATACTTTTAGTGAAATCTATCCACCAACTGATAAACAAGGATTAGTCTGTTTCTTTACTGGGTTAAGTGGGTCTGGAAAGAGTGTAGTTTCAAATGCTGTAATTGAACGATTAAAACAACACACAAATAGACCAATTTATCTTCTTGATGGAGATATTGTAAGAACTAATTTATCTTCAGAACTTGGATTTAGCAAAGCACATCGTAATATCAACATCTTAAGAATTGGATTTGTTGCAAGTTTATTAGCTCGTTCTGGTGCTATTGTTGTTTGTGCCCCAATTGCACCATACCGTGAAATTAGAGATGAAGTTAGAAAAATGGTATCTCAATATGGTAACTTCGTTGAAATTCATAATGCCACTCCAATTTCAGTTTGTGAAGAAAGAGATAGAAAGGGTCTTTATGCAAAAGCACGTGCTGGTATTATTAAAGGATTTACAGGAATTGATGATCCATATGAAGCTCCATTAAACCCAGAGATTTATTTGAACACTGCTGGTAAGTCTGTTGATCAATGTGCAAATATTGTTATTGACTACCTCACAAAGAAACAATACATTAAATGAATTTTTATTTGATCAAATTAAAAAACAACCTAATTTTTATTTTCAACAAATACATAAATTAATTTTAATATAAATCCATATCTTCGAAATTGGTTATAAAGTCAGCAAATTGATAACTAAATATCATATATTTCTTTCTGAATGAAGTTTGTATTTTATCCATTTCTTGTGACAATAATTGGTATGTTGAATAAGCTTTGTCACAACATGACCTTAGTCTTTGTAAATTTCTTTGTAATAATTGTATTCCTTCTGTATCATCATCCTCTCCACCAGGGAAGAAATTTTTGATAATACTTAACACACTAAAACTCTCTTCATTAATAATGTTTTGTGTCATGTATTCTCTCATTTCTTTTATTGCTTTTAAAGAACTAGTTCCATTTTTTTCACATTCACATACATAAAATGAAAGTGATTCGATCATTCTTTCTACTACTTCAATAGAATATCTCACTGGTGTTAATACTTCATCATATTGTTCAACCACAATCGATCTTCTTAACCCACTTGGTAATGAACTTTGAGTTTTATAAATACCTTTAACAGCAATAATGTCCATCATTTTATCTGAGTCTCCTTCAAAAATTTCATAAGTAAATTTATTAGCAGTAGTAATTTGAGGAACAGGAACAGTTTGAACTTCTTCATTTATTATTGGATAAACTTGTTGTGGTTCAACAATATCATACCCAATAGTTTCACACATTTTTAAATACATTTCTTTAAATTCTTGTTTATCACATGGAGAAGCATAAACAAATTGGGACTCTCCAATCTGAACAAGATAAAATTTATAATCAATAGAACTTCCATTAGCGTAACCTAAGAAGAATTCTGCCATTTGTTGGTGTATTGTAGCTAATTCATCAAGCATATTATTATTTTCGAAAAACTCTTTTAACATTAAACATACCTCTACTCCAAACCATGTCATTTTAGCTTTTCTGAATAATTCTATAGCATGATATGCATGTGCTAATAATAATTCTTTCGTAAATTCTAATGGAACTTCATTGATGTCAGTTCGGTCAATCAAAAAGTCAGAACAAATACTTGCTAAGTGATTAACATTTAATATACCTATATCGTTTCCTTTTGTAACTCTATAAATGTAATAAACAGCTTGAATTTCACAAATTCCTGCTTCTAAATAATATCCAAATTCAATCTCTTTTTCAATGATGTTATTTAACCATGACAAATGTAATAATGGACTTGAACGATATTTAACACATAATGCATAGTATCTTTCTGTTAATTCATCTATTTGATATTTTCCTTTAAGACTAAGTAATCCCTGAAGCTCTAATGACACAGAAAATATTTCATTTCCTACAGAATGAATAGACTCAATTAAATTAGATGAAGAATTACAACTTGTAATATAAATTGGTGATCGTAACATTGCAGATATATCAGTTAATCTAAATGATATACTTGTAAGGTCTGATAATTCTGTTTTAGAATCACATTTACTTAGTCCCTTCTTTATTAATTTTTGATATAATGTTTCTAAACTTTCTTCCATTCCAACGTAATGAACATATCTATTAATTCCAATTATTGACCCACAACTCATTTTACTTAAGAAATGATATGCCTCTTTTGCTTTATTAAATGCTTTAAATTCACTCCGTTGAGTTGTTAATAAACATTGTCGAGATAATGATATAAATTCATCATAATATTTAGCATATTCTTTTCTTTGAATTTCACGTTGTTCTTCCAAAGAACATCTTTTTCTTACATCTCTTACCGTTTTAATAATTTTTTGATGAGGTATAGCAACAATAATTTTATTGATCTTTTCCATTAATTCTATTTGTTGGGGAGTCTTAAAGACAGTTTTTTGTAATTCGTGATACGCTTTTATTTGTTTTTCTTTATTTTGTTCAATAATATTTAACATTCCAACAAATATACTAAGATAATCATTAGGTTCAGGTGGTTCAAAAGATAATAATATTTGAGCAGAGTATGCCCACTCAAACACCCCATATAATTTCTCCATTAACATTTTATTTTCTTCATGATTTTTATCAGACTCATTAATTTTTGATGATGCTTTTTCTGAAATATATAATAGTTCAACTATCTTCGTTAACAAGTCTTGGGCTTTCTCGTTATTTTTCATTAGTTTAAGACTTTCATTATTTGATTCAATACAACTACTTAACTCAGGCATCATTTTATATATTAATTGGTTATGTTCAAATGAGAATTGACTATCAGGAAGAACATAACTACCAGAAAATTTTACAGAAACAGGAGTTACAATTGTTGATGTTCTTTTTAATATACGAGTATTATCTCCAGACATTCGTTTCTTTTTTGGAGTTATAGTAGAAACTGACCTTGTGTCACCTGCTTTTCGTGGGGTTAGTCGTGGAGTTTTTGGCTCATTCCTCAAGAATGAATATAAATTACTAATTTGTATTGACATCTCTCTTAGACTCTTTATTCTTACAGTTTTACTTTCATTAGTCATTTCAGGCAATGACCTTTTTTTAGAATGGAACTTTTGTATGTTTAGTGTTTTGTACATTTGAAAAATATCAGAAAGCTCATCTGGAGTTACTGGGAATAATGGATTACAATCTACTCCAAACGATACTAGTTCATCAAAACTTTGTTGATATTGATTTAAATATGACGCACCTTTTCTAATATTTTCAGGTGTTACATCATTAATGCTATTTACTAGATGTTTAAAGAAACTTGTTACAATTTCTTTACATTTACTACATTGTTCCCTTAAAGCTCCAACTCGTTCTGTAGAATTTTTACAATTTCTTTTTATTGAATTATGAAGATCCATATAACATTCAAACAATGATTTCATACGTTTTAATTGTTTCATAATCTCTTCTTGTTCAGAATAAAATTTAATGGTAATTGCTTCAATAGTATTAATTTGTTCTTCCTTTAATTTCATTGTTTTAAATAATAATAACACAATACTTAATTGTATTTCTGTTTCTCTACCAATGACTGATCCTTCCATATGTTTGATTTCATTTAATAATTCTATTCTTTTTTCTAAAATCTCATTAAAGAATACAACACAATCTTCTGCATGTCCTTCAAATATAGCAGTATCAATTGTTTGAACTTCTAGACATAATTGATTACTTTTAACCATCTCTAATGCTGAACTATTTCTTTGTTGTACTAACATATCAAACATTGATTGTAACCGAACAAAAGGAACGCTTTGAAGAAAATATACT